TTTCCTGTGGGACAGCCAGTGACCGCGGACACTCTCTGTCCTCTTGATCATCTCCACCGTCCCACCCCCACTCTTTGGCAGGCATTAACAGAGGGCGTTGATGGCTTGCACCTGGGATGCCCAAATGCCAGCTCAGGTGCTTTGGAATCAAGAACCTGTTTTTGAACCCAAGTCCTACTGTGACCAAACCTAAAGCATCGCCCCTGTTCCTTAAGCTCACCTCCTGAGGCAATAAGATTGCTTGGCTTCCTGTGTTCACACCAGAAGGCAGAGGGCAGAGCGAAGGCAAGCCTCTGTTGGACGCCACCGTCCGGAAATGATCCTCTATGTGCCAGTGCTGAGAGGCCAACGTGACATATTATGTTTGTGCTACTCACAAGGTGAGAACTGAACAGACTGAAATCACAATTCTGCCTCACTGGAGCTCTTGGATTTTGCAATGTTGCAGTGTGTTAACGCATTAATAATACATTTATTACACCTTTATACACCTATGAAAATCTAGTAATTTCCAAAATGAGATTGCATATGCTGATATCTTGGCAGAGAGAGCTGTCAATCAAATCTTACCATGAAGAATACACACAGTCTGCAGTTGATTCCCAGCTGCAGACTGTGGAATAATGACAATGTCTGTGGGTGCTCTGCAGAATTCCAAATGGAAAACAGAATGGATGTAGTACAGTCAGCGGGAAAAGGTCAAGTGCGTGCAGATTCTCTCTCCCTCTGTGTCTCCATTCGTATTCCCCCAGTTTCACTTTATGCTCACCCTGCCTCCACAGTATTGAAGCAATCTTTTTTTTGCAGCGATGGCTGCTCCAGAGCTACATTTAAATATTGACCCTTTTTATTCTGCTTCAATTTGATATGGAAAGGTAATTCTACAGTAATGTCTCACACGCTGCCGTAGACAAGAGTGGAGAATAGGTGGCCAGAGGTCATTACCTGAACATATTCCCTCTTGCTGCTGGTGCAGCTTAAAAAAGCATCTGGCAGCTAAAAGCAAAGCCAGCTAATGGCTGTGGCAGGTCTGTCTGCAGAGGCAAAACTACAATCCTCGGGTGAACCTCTGTGTCAGGTCCTGAGGCTGTGTGTGACATGGCCGGGTTGTCTCTGTCGATCAGGTCGGACGAGAGCAGAAACAGGACTGACACTGAATGAACCTGGGCTATTAGGCCCTATGGGAAGTTTTCTTCTACACCAGGCTGATTGGCACCCCAGGCTCCCTGGGTGGTGTCACTGAGGGTTAGGGCTGCAGGTGCACTCATGCATGTGTGTGTGTGCTACAGAACATATTTTGGGGACTAATTGTAAACTACACACCAGATGACTCCAGGCATTTAACTGCAGCCACAGAAGCTTTTTCCAAAGTTGATTTCACCACACTTGCATTAATCATTGTGAAAAAATTGTTTCTGTCTCAATAGGGTTTGGAAAGTCATTAAATGCAACCATAACTGTATAAAATCAGTGTGGGTGTGTGTATAATGGTTTCAGTCTGGCACTGTTTGGGCGACAGGCCTGAGGGAACACTTGTGATACGCCTAAGAGAGGATTAATCTTTAATTAATTAATTAATTAGTTGTGAACGTGTCGGTGTGGTTCACAGTGGTTCTGGAGTGAACAAAATTCCTAAATTTTAAAGTATACAGGAATATTCAATAAATAAATAAATACTAAATACTAATACAAACTAACAATCAAGAAAATTCACAATTTTAGAAAACAACCAAAGACTAATGGCATAGTTGGTGCAGACAGCATTAACATCTGCCCTGGTGTAGACCCAGAACAGAGAATATGATCTGCATGTCACTCAAGAAAGATTAAAAAAATAAAAATAAGGCAAAGACGGTGGCAAATGTTGGTAGAACGCTCGCCTCTACAGCAAGAAGATCACTGGCGCGCAATCATTCTGTATGGAGTTTGTATGTTCTCCCTGTGTGTATGTGGGTTCTCTCTGGGTACTCGACACTTAATTGACCACATGTACGAATGTGAGTGTGGATGGTTGTTTGTCTCTGTATGAGGCCCTGCCATGGACTGTTCTCCGCCCTCACCCATAGATAGCTAGAATTTGCTCTAGCGCCCTGCAAAAGGGAATAAGTGGTAGATAATGGATGATTAACGCAAACAAGAAACTACATTGATCACTGGGTAACTAGCTAACAGCTAACAAGTCAACCGAAACCACCGGAGCAACAGGATGAAAAGATAAATGTTGTTTTCTATCATAGGGAAGTGAAGTGGACTCGTAGATAAATCGATTCTCTTCCCAAGTCTATCCACCGGTACAAGGACAGCAGTCCAATTAGTTCAACTCAACTGTGCATTTAAATAGACTGAGATAGTAAAATAAATTGGTTGATGTTTCTCTCTACCCCTACAAGAACAGGCAGTGGCCTTGGTCAGTGCCATCCACTCAACCCTCTCCCTCAGCAGGGCATTTCTCAACTGTCTGGGTGGGTGCCCTCGCTTTGTTGACCAACACGGTGAGAGGCCCTGAATTCACTACAGTTTCTGTCTTTTATGTCTCCATCTAGGGCAGTGGCCGAGAGACGTGAAGCCGAGGACGGAGGCAGGGGGTTGTGAAAAGCTACAAATGTCAGCCATAAGGAGGATTTAATTAAAAATGACATGGGTTGGCGCTGCAGGTACATATGCTCAGAATTTTCAGCACAGTAAAAGCAAGTGCCTGTGATTTATAATTCAAGTAATGCTCTGCTCTCTTTTTAATTCTACAGCCAAAGAAAAAAAATATCAAAAGGCCGTCCCTGTGAGGCTAATCCTATATGATATTTTTAAGAGCAGGCGGTCAATGGCTTCTCCATCTCCCTTTCTGCTCCTCTCTCTTTACACTTGTCTATGTCTCTCCATCTCCCTCCCTCCCCTGCACTGCACTCCTTAGCTCTACGATACCTCACTCCACCCCCTTGAGCCTAAGCACAGAGCGGGCTGTGATAATGGAAACATCCCGCTCTCCGCCTCCCGTTTCTCCAGCTAAGCTCTGCGTGCTTGGGAGAAATTGATTGTCTGGCGAGCCAATCTCAACGCATCCAGCTGATGGTAGAGCCAGTTAAGTCCTTTTTTATTGAGGGTATGAGGGATTTTTAATGGGAGTCGCATCACTGAACTGTGCAAAAAAAGGCCCTTGCCCTTTTATGTGAACTGCCACCACAGTCCTCACAAAGGCACACACACACACACACACACACACACACACACACAGACACTCTTGAGAAAAGGACAACACAATGCAAATGACAGCCTCACTCCGAGTTATTCCATGCACTGTGCTGTCACCTGCTCTGTCTCTGTGAGTCAAATATTGTGGTATTCATGTTCCTGTTTCCAGACCAGGTCACCTTACCCACCCCCGATTCCATGTGAGCACAAACTCGGCAAATCATTCAAGGAGACAGACCGCATCACTGGCTGTAGTCCTGCACCGCTTCTGGATCCGGGTGAACAATTGCACTATAGAAGCCAAGAAGTTCCATAGTGGTAGAAATTCAACACTTGCACATCCCCACTCAGGTTCCAGAGAGAGAAATGAGGTTATTATGTTCAAACATCCTCATTACGAACCAAGAGACGGTCTCTGTGGTAGTCTTACAATCAAAGGTTTAACAGGTGGAGAAGGGGAGTCACGTTGAGAGGGTTAGTAGGATGTAGGGCGAAGGGAAATACTAGAGACTGTCCTTTTTATCTATTGATTGGAGTCCCAACTGCCACTGGCTACTTCATGGAAGTGGGCTAATTCTGTGAAATTGGAAGAAGGGAATCGATTAGAGAGTGTTGAGGGTCTCCCAACATTTCTTTCCACTGCCCCTGATCTTCACCTTTCTCTAATTCTATTTTGCAGATTTTTTCTTTGTCCTCCAATACACTTTGCCTCTCAAAGAATCCTAATTAGTGAGTCCAACTCCACTCCTGAACAACTCCACTCAGCTGAAGTGCTGCCCCTTTACAGCTGCACCTGGAGCTCTGTTTATCTCATTGCCTTTCTGTCTGTTACACAAACAACCATAGACGGCATATGAAACACACATACAGGTCACTGGCGGAAACAAGTCTTGATCTGAGAAAGGAGGTAGCAGCCAGTCACCCTGCTGCTCCTGACTCTTGTCGCCTTAATAAGAGGCAACTCGAGTGTGATCTTGATCTGAGAAGTAACTAATTAGCCAGCCAGCAGCTGAGAGAAGGGAGACAGAACACTTGGATTGTTTCATTCCTCCATCTAGAGTCTCTTAAATGCCTGTTTCCATGTGACAATAAGAAAGTGGCTTATTTTAAATTCGTCCCCTTGTTTTCAGTCCACCAGGAATTTTAATTAATTTGAGGAACATTCAAGGTCTTAAGTCAAAACTAAAACATTAGGATTCAAAGACCTGTAATTGTCATTTCCAAAAACCACTGTAGACAGCCTTTACACTCCACTTTTATGACTGCTGCCACTCACTTTTATCCCAAGACCTTTAGGACTAGTTCTTCTAGGTCTCTGGATTTTTCAGCAATGGCGCTTCGCTGTCCCTTTACACTATTTTGTGAATGGACAGTGGGTGGGAGCAAACAGAGCAGCTGTCATGCTTTACAGGCGGCTGTCACAGCCAGGGCCAGAGACTGTAAATGTTTACAGACCCTAAGGGTCACCCGGGGCCAGTGAGACACGTTAAACACCGTCTGCTGAGCCCTGTTGTCATGACTGCACAATCAGCACAGCTAAACAGCCCTCCTCTCAATAAGTAGCCAAACAATCCAAGGTCTAAGTGCAGTGCGAATTAAACTGTTTAGAATTCCTTTAAGCAGCGAGGGAACACAGTAACACACAGAAATGGGAAAGTTAATTTTCCTTCACTTATTCACGAGAGGATTAAATACCCATTCACATTATTAACTGCCACCCGTGGAATAAACATGACCAGGAAATACAAGTCTCTGACATTTATACAATCTAAGCAAGTTCAGCCTTTTTTGGATGTGTCACGTTGTGAACTTACATTTCCGTCTGAGGGCTTGTGGTGGCTCCAGGGTCTTGGTGACACACACTGGGTGCTGGGGTGGAGGGTTTTGCCTCCTTTGCAGACAGGCGAGCATGGCGAGGTGGGCACAGTACGAAAGCCGGTGGACTTCTGAGGCCAACCTAGATCAGAGAAAGAGCGAAGAGGCACATTTTAGGTGAGCATGGAAGAAAGATTTAAGGTCGGGCTCCATGGCTGTGTCCGATCAGAACAAGGACTGGCTCTGGGCTCGATGGGCTAGGATTCTCACCCAGGGTATAATTGGGAAAGCATGCCTACAGCTGCCTGCCTCTCAGCGATGTGTGTTGAATGGTAAACACACACCTGCACTGGGGCAGCACAGTTAACACAGGCCCAGAGCACAGTCCAGGCCAGTCACTCTGCAGTTCCACAAAGCACAAGCACACAGCCATTCAAGCACATCTCCTGTCTATGAATCCCAGCCCAAAACAAACACACAGACATGCAGAAAAAGTAGAAACACCCGGCCACATTCCTTCCAGGGAATGTGCTCGGGTGAGAGTGTGTGGTGATTGATGGCATTATCTATGGACAGCAGAAAAAAATATGGTAATGCTGAGAAAACAGCAGTCTGTCTACTCCAACTTAACATGCAACTGCTCTGGGGTACTGTCAGGAAGGGCCTGGGGGACTGAGCGCTGTCTGGTTCTATGTGTAGCAGTGTGTTAAACTGTATGGTTGTGTGGCTGTTTGTGTGTGTGTGAGGGACCAAATGCAATGGGTTGGGAAGGGGAGACTGCCAACCGTACATCAGGACTAGTGACGGCACTAATCAATCTCCCTCTAGGCCATAAATCTCCAGCACTACACACTTCACTCCCGGTTTCCCACCTTCACTTTGAAGAGGGAGGAGGCAGTTGCTACTTGTTTCCTCTCTCTTTCTCTATGAGTTCACATATACAGTATATATATGTATGTATATATATCTATATATATATATAGATAGATATATAGATAGATAGATATATATATAGATAGATATATAGATAGATATATATATAGATAGATATACATATAGATAGATAGATAGATAGATTTATCTATATATATATCTATCTATATATCTATCTATATATCTATCTATATATATATATATATAGATAGATAGATATATATATATATAGATAGATATATATATAGATAGAGAGATAGATAGATAGATAGATATATAGATAGATATATATATAGATAAATCTATCTATCTATCTCTCTATCTATATATATATATAGATAAATCTATCTATCTATCTATCTATATGTATATCTATCTATATATATATATAGATAGATATATAGATAGATAGATAGATTTATCTATATATATATATAGATAGATATACATATAGATAGATAGATAGATTTATCTATATACATATACACCACCCCAATTGGAAAGCATGGAAGGTATCATTCATCAGCTACATACCAATGTCACACAGCAGAATGATGACAGATTACCAAGTCTTCCAGTCTGGATTATGTGCTAAATGAGAAAAGCTAAAACAAACTGTTGACCAGAAAGTTTTCCTATACAATACAGATCAAGATCCATTCCCTTATAGCTCACTTACGTCTGGCTGCTTGTTGTCCTGGAACATGTGCAACGACTGTGATGACTGTACAGTTAATCACTACAGATGTACATTCACTACTACGATACACGTACCACAACAAAGCTTAATCTCTTGTCCTAAATGCATTGATATAAAAGGAGCATCCTTTCCCACCATGTTAACACAAAGAACCGCAGCAAATATTTCATCCATGCTGCCAGCACCGGCGTCTGCTGCCATGACGGCTTGAAGATTATTGAAAAATGATTTTTCATGTGCTTGTCACGGACTTGTCCCCGTTATTTATTTTCTCAGTGAATCACTAAATGAACATCTAGCCACCTGCCATCATGTCCATTTTGTATATTTTTTTATATAGTTTATAGATGAACATTTTAACACCAAAGAAAGTTATGACAATAATTACAACATGAACAATTGGTATTTCATGAAGCGCCAGGTTTTGTTTATACTCATAAAAAACACATATGTATAAACTTTGAACTGATGAACTTATGTTCACATCTTATCTTATTCTGTAGGATAAGAAACAAAGCCTTTTATTATTATTTATTTATTATTTTATTATTTAAAATATTATACTGTACCTCTACTGTATACATAAAGCATACATTTATTCCTGTATGTTTAATGACTGCTGTGACTGGGGAGTGTCCAGTATATCAAGAAATTGCCACTGCTGAACACTGCTGTTTTTACATTATGCAGTTTCATTTTATTAACTTCAAGGAAATTCTGTTTTTAAATTCTGTACATGAAATCTTTATTTGAAAGTACAAATGTGTTTTTTCTTTCACTGAGTCAAGCCAAATTAAAAGTATGGACTACGAAATAAAGGGAGCATGACAAACCATCTTGCTGCCTATAATTAAGGTTGATTGATTTTCCTGGTTAAAGAGCAGAAGCAGCTGTTGTTGAAAGATGCATCATTACTGCTAACAATCTATTCTCTACACATAAAAAACAACTTTGTTAGAGCATATTTCACATGAGATTAACTGTGACCTCAAACCTGGAGGCTTGTTTAACATTCACATCCTATTGCGTATTTTTAACCTCTGTCTGAAGCACAAAACAATAAATCAATCAATGTAGGAAATAATCTTTCTATAGACTTTTATGTTAATTCTCTCTCAGATTTTGAGTTTAAAACAAACACAAAATACATTCCCTGCAACTGAAAATTCAAAACTTCTGTGGTGCTCTGGATGTAGACTTGGTTCACACTGCGTTATACAAAGACATGTCGCAGATCTCTCTCTCTCTCTCTCGCCAGGTGCTGGAGCAGAAAGAGTCGCTTGCAGTGCCATTTCCTCTCACACGCAGGCAGGCCTGGCCCAAACACACTGGCACTTTGAGCTCATTACTGCCTATTCACATAATCCTTTCTCTATGACCTCTCTGTGAGGATACTAATTTCACAACACAAGTCCATCCTCACAGCCCATTTGTAAAAAGATAGTGGTTAGAAGAGAGGAAAAAGGACACACATGGTACAGATTGAGACTAATGGACAGCCAGTAGTGGGGCATATCTCTGCAGTTTTCCCCCTCTCTGAAATGAAAGACAGTCACGTAACTACCCTCCATTTTTCTACCTTTGCTGCCCGCCAAATGTATTCTGGCATTATACTTTGCCAAGGGAGACCTGCTTTTTTCAATTCAATTTTAAGGAGTAATTTTCTCCTATTATTGCTTTTAAGAGCAAAGCAGAAAGAGCAAGTCTCTTTTGCCATGTTCCCCTTTCTCACTCATCTCCTCCAATTAGGTTATTGTTCTACTAGTAGATGTCTCTCAATGGCAGGAAGTTATGTCCAAACCAAAAAAACCAGTGTCCCATAATCTGGCTGTCTTAAAACAACCAGCAATGCCCAGGTCAGATCCTGTCATGGTTCTGCAGAAAACAGGCGAGGACACATTCACCGGTCTACACAGAAACGATTGAAAAACCGACCCTTTCACTCACTCATCAAATCCACTCACTGGTCTCCTCATACACCACTGTGAGGATATCTCACAAAAGCCTGGATGACTATCGGCTCTTTCTGCTAATACTGCTGCAGGGTTTGCAGTGGGGGTTGGAAGATCAGTCCCAAGAGATGAGGGAATAAGTCAGTATCAAGAGGCAGTGGGTTTGGCACTGGGCTATTTCTTAGTTAAAGGGTTCTTTAAACTCCAGAGAAGATGGTTCCCTGGGCTCAAAGCTGTCTGCTCAGATAAGCATTCAGGCCAGTGCATATTATAACAGAGAGCTGTGAGTGTGTGTGTGTGTGTGTGTGTGTGTGTGTATTTAAAGTCATACATACATGTTTAAAGTGGCTAATGCTTAGATGGAACAATTTAGAACAGTGAATATCAAAATGAATCATCAACAGTGAAATTCCAAATAATTTCATCAATCTGAACACTCCAGCTAGTTTCAGGGATTTACATTTAAATGTATTTCTGCAGAGAAAATACAGAACAAATTGTTGATGATGAAGAAAAAAAAATATTTAGTATTTTTTTTATTATTCTCTCCCAATTATTTAAGGCCTCTTAGCCAGCTTGTCAAAGAATTTTTTTTTGTTTAATTTAAGTTTTCTTATTTTTTTTATGTTGTTTTCCACTTCTCAACAACCAGACTATATTGGTCCATGGTACAAAGTAGTTCAGGGGTGTCAAACTCATTTTCACTGGGGGCCACATCAGCAATACAGTTCCACTTGAAGGGCCGGTTGTAAATGGAAGACTGTATAGATCAGGGGTCACAAGCGCCCGGACCGCAGACCAGTACCTGTCCATTGGTCATTTGGTACCGGGCTGCAGTGGGACATAGTTAAAAAATGTGCTTAATTTTTACTAATTTACTTCATTCAAAGAAAGTTCAGTCATATCCATTTACTTTCTTTGTTTAAAGATAATCAATTAAAGAAAGATGTAATAAGATGTCATAAAAAACTTTCTCAGGTTAAGCTCCCGTGGGCCACACAAAACGGCTTGGCGGGCTGCATTTGGCCCCTGGGCCTTGAGTTTGACACGTATGAAGTAGTTTTAAAAATCTAGGTTAGGCAAATACAGACATTATCACGGCTCAAAAACATGTCATGAGACCAGTAACTTAGACCTGTTGTAGAGTTAAAATAACCCAAGATAAGCTTTTGTGACTTTTACTTTGAAAAAAAAAAAAAATCTTAGCTTCTGGGTGCTCATTCTACCAAGCTGAATTTGACACAATGGCTACTAACAATGGCAACAGACACCACAATAGTTGCTGCTTATGCATGTTGCTTCACTCTGTGTTTGCCTGTGAATGAGGTCATGTGACAAAAAGGCATCAGCAAAACCTTACAGTGAAAACTGAGTCATAATTTCCAAAGGTCACAGTTTGACTCATCTCTACTTCCGAGACTGATCTCTGGAGTTTTATGATAACAAGTGAACCAGGACTGAGAGTTCTTTTAGAAAAATAAAAGTTTTAAAACTGTTAGCATAAACAACAAGGTTAGTCCTATAACGTAGGGTTAAAAAAAGAGTAGTGTGGATGTA